TTTTTTGTTTTTAGGGTTCTTTTGTTGTTCTCCCGCCCTGGCGGGGGGGCGGGCTAGAAGATCTATTAGGTCCCTTCCGACCCTAAAACTATGAAACTATGAAACTATTTAATTGATATCCTACCTAAACAGCTTGTGCCCTTCAGTACCTACATTTCATGGTTACTACTCAACCATATTTTGGTTACTCTTATAAACATTTGGTTTCATGTTCCACACTGGGTGGCTATCTCCTTGCTTATTCAGGTGAAACTAATCTTTAAAGAAAAGTCCTCTGTCTATGAATACCTGCTAGTCAAGCATCCCAAATATTCCTGAAAGTACCAATCCATTAATTTTTATCATCTTGACCTGCCTCCTACCTTCTTCGCTTGGGACAGGAAGAATCCCACTGAAGATCACTTGAGTTTCTGCTTCTTTAAACATCTTTTTCAACCTAGCAAATTCATTCTTCATTTTAAAATCGGTAAGTATCTGGCCATATCATTGGCTAGTACATAAAAGACCAACCTATTCTTGTCCCATCTCATTAGAAACCTCTTCAATCAAGTCTTATGTGCCATACCTTTGCTCTTTCCGTTTTCTAGGTATTCCCTTATGACTGGTCTGCCTACTCTTAGGAACAAATCCACAACTACAGGCAACCCCCACTTAGCGCTGTTTCACTTAGAGCTATTTTGCTATAATGCTCATCTTAAATTGATATCTGATTCCACTTAACGCTCAGCGAGTTTTGTTATAAAGGCTTGCAGTCACCTTTTTGGGTCATTAAAAATACTTGCAGTTGCCATCTTGGGTCATCAAAAACTTTTGGTTTTACTTAACGTTCGGTTTTTCAGGAACCAATTAAGAGTGCTAAGTGGGGTTTTCCTGTATTTAAACCTGTATTTCCTGGTGCTGGCACCACTCTCTGGTCTTCTTCCTTTCAACCTCCCTCTGTCTGAAATCACACTAATACCTAAATACCTTTTGGCCTCTGGCCACCTGTTAGCTTAATTCTCTTGCCCTCTTTCTAGGCCAAATCTTTCTTCCATGTCATTCCACCGACCTCTTCTGTTTCTGTTCTTTATCAACATATTGCACCAGTTCCTCAATTCTATTTCATCTCCACTAGCTGGTCATTAGTTTTGCCTTTTTTTCATGGTTGCATGCGTCACAGGTTCTCCTCTTCTGAAGGCCTGCCCACGTGATCATTTTTGGCAGGTGTCAGAGGTTTCTAATTTGTATGTGTGGTTTCAACTAGGCCTGTGCGAAGCTTCGGTCGCCAATTCAATTCGGAGGAGATTTGGCCCAATTCAGCAGCCAAATCTCTGAATCCGAATTGAATTGGGAGACCTGTTAAAAGGTTCAAATCGAATCTGAAGCCTCCAAATCGATTCGGAAAAGATTCGGAGAAATTTGGATCAGCCAGGGAGAGGCAGGCACAGCTGGGCGGCTGCAGGTTTTGCCGCAGCTCCTCCGGCTATGCCTGCCTCTCCCCAGGTTGTGGGGAGCCACAGGAGAAGCCTCCATGGCTGCCCTGCCTAGCCCCATCACCTGCCTGGTCCCATCCGCCCAGTGCAGGGCAGTAGGAGGGCAGCAGGGATTGCCCCTCCCCCCGCCTGGCACCTGTGCAGCAGCTGCCCCATGGCGTGGGTGCAGCGTGGCTCGGAAGGGCACTGTGCACTGTCTAGGAGCTGGGGACACTGGGGCTGAACGCTGCTAGGCTTTGGCTGACTGCTGGAAATGCCCCAGCTCCCAGACAATGTCCAGTGCCCTGCCGAGCTGTGCCGCAGCTGCGCAATGCGACAGCTGCTGCGTGGGTGCCAAGTGAGGGTGGGGAGGCAATCCCCACTGCTCCTTGCTGTGCGGCAGGGCTCTACCATGAGCCCCCAGAGGCCCTGATCCCTGCTGCTGCAGCTGGTGAATGCGGGGCTTTTTTTTTTTTTTTTTAAGTGCTGGGAAGCTGGGGCTGGGTAGGGCAGCCATGGGGGCTTTTCCCGCAGCTCCCCCCACCCAGGCACAGCCAGAGGAGCCACAGAACCTGCAGCCACTTGGCTGTGCTTGCCTCTCCCCAGCCAATCCAAGTCTCCGAATCAGCACTGAATCTCTGATTCTGATTCGGCCGAATTGAATGGGGACAGTGATTCAAATCACCGAATCAAATCACTGTCCTCCGAATTGGCTGAATCCAAATCAAACACTTCCCTATTTGCACAGGCCCAGTTTCAACTCTTCTTGTCCGTCATTTGGTCAAAATATTGTCTGAGCTCCACCATTGTCTTGAGTTACATTTCCAGCCCTTTAATCTTCTCCACAAGTACCACCAAGTGATATGTCCTATAATACAGTGGTTCTCAACCTTTTTCATAGAGGGACCCATCTGCCAAGTTCAATGGCTTTTGTCCTGACCCACAACCCCCTGGCCCTGCTGTTGCTTGACCCACAGTTCTCTGCCCCCCTTTGGCCTTGCTGGAGCCCCTCACCCCAAGCCACATCCCCCTGGTCCTGCTGGTGCCCTTTCCCCCATGCGACAGCCCCCTGCCCCCCGCCACCCATGGTCATGTTGGTGCCCCTCACTCCCAATCTGCAGCCCTCTACCCGTGCCCAGACCTGCTGGAGGGGGCCCCCCAGCTGTCTCTGTCCCTCAAGTCAGAGTGTGAGCAGCAAGTGCAGGCCCCTGCATATATGAGCTCTGACCCCATGATGCCAGCCCAGGCACGCAGCTCTCCACTGGGAAGGACCGCCCTCACCTCCCTTCCCCTGGTGAAGGGCCAGATGCCTTCTCCCCCTGCTCTGCCATAACCCTGCACCTAGCCACTTTCCTCAGAACTGGCAAGTAGGCATGCCCTCCCCCGCTCCCCCCCAGCCCTCTGGACAATCCCCTGGACCTCCATTCCCCACTCCCCATACTTACCTGTGTCCAGTGGCTGGGGCTGCTCCCATGACCCGGCCTTGCTCTATACTGGCCATATGCATCTGTGCACGCACTCCCGCTGCCTCCAATCATCCCAGGCAGCCGCTTGCAGGCTGGAACGCTGCCAGCCTGCAAGGGAAAACCCATGCTTTCACGCAGTTTTCTGGGGACCTGCTCACAACCCTTTCAAATATTCTTGCGCCCCACTTTTGGGTTGCAACCCACTGGTTGAGAAACACTGCTATAATACACAGCTAGCATTTCCAATACATTGAAAGATGATATACACCCCACAATTTCCACATTATCCTCCTCAGATATCAAGCCATGCTTAGCAACTCAGCTACTGACACTATTTGCCAGCACCTTTTTTTAAGGAACAGTCTCTCTCTCTCTCTCTCTCACAAAAACATCAGCATAAACCCACTTAGGGAAACAGAAACACACTCTAAAACATCAAAGAAGCAGAGAACAGACACAAAAAAAAAAACCAACCACCCCCCCCCCCCCCCAAGAACATGACCCACACACATTGAAAGCATGGGGGGAAATGGGAAGCAAGCACGAGCATACCAAATTCCCTGAAAACTCAAAATCTGCTGTTAACTGCTCCATATATTAGATTACACTAATCACTGCCATCTGATTTCTTATATAGCCTGAGGCAACAAGTTTTATTCCACTGCATCAGTTATTTAGCATATATGTTAAAAGATACATGCATTTAGTAGGCTTTACTCCTTATACCCAAACATAAATTAAATTACCATAACATGTACTTCAACAACTCTTGCCATAAGTAGTTCTTGAAGGAGTTCTACTGCATCTGGCTGCCAAAAACTTCCAACCTAGATGGTGAAGGAAAAACCCCCCCACACGCATTACAAATGCCAACAAACAGAATGTAATATTACCTACTAGCATGCATTTCCGCATAGACAAGGGCAGATCTTAAGAGTGTGAAAATGTAGTAATTTTTAGGCATTTATATTTAGAAATATTGTCGTACCTACATCATTATTGTAAATCAAATCAGTTTTACTGTGTTAATAATACTTTTCCAGAGAACGTAAGCTTTAACAACTTCGAGGGAAGAGGGGAAATGCCAAAGGAAACTAATGAAATATTCCTGACGTGTAACTAAACTGCTTCTTTCATTCTGATTTCCAATTTATGAGATAATCCAGCAGTCTACAGAACAGACTTGCTTAGAATGCTTTTGTACGTGCCTGTAACTATATCTATACATATATGTAATCACTTAAGTGAATGCACAGTTTACATGGCATGATTTCAAGTGAAACTTTTGTCAAACCTCGCATTATCATGAAATGGTTTAGATAGACACAAAGGCATTAGTATTTAATCTGAACCAAATTTACCAAATTACTCACTGGTACTGTTTTATAGAGCTGGCACGGGATGCAAAATGGAGGTATTTCAGCATATAACAAAGTTGGATAGAGATGACACTGAGGGATCTTTTCAATGTAGCCATAGTCCAAGTATTCTACCTACATAAAAAACAAAATTACTTTAAAAAATGTTCTTCTCTAGCAGGGGTATTAGACAGTACTTTCAACAGACTGTTTTTTCTAAAAAGATAAAACTCATGATTGTGACGGCCAGAACCAGAGAGGTTAAATCAATAAATATATGCTCTTGGAAACATCTGGTAATTGTCTGACAGTTAATATTAGCTAATGCAAAGCTTGTAAGTTTGTAATTTGCAAATGTAACTTGTCTGTCATAAGTTTAACCAAAGTGTTGAAACTGTCTGTACTGATCACGAGCCCCAAAAATAAAACTGCAAACATCAACTAATCTAACAGTTCTTACTTCAAGTTCAACCATAACAACAAACCCTGACCACAAAATATAATTAGCACCTTTTGTAAATCCAAGGAAGAGCTGAAAAAGAGGAAGAAACCAAGGGGTTGAACTTGGGTGGAGTAAATGCTAATCTCAAGCCCCAAAGTGATGTGGTGTGATTTGCTTATTGAGTGAGTCCAAGTTTAGGCAGTAACCTTTTATGATAATTTCTAACACCTTTTAATCCCATAGGGTAACAGCTGTAGAACAAGACTGTGAGTGGCTCTGAGCTAACAGATTAGCATAAAATAAGGTATGAAAAAGCACGTATGCCAAGTGACCAGCATGAAGGATGGGACAGAAGGATCATTGCTGTACCAAGCCTGAACCCCGGACTCCCAGTGTGAGTAAGGACTGGATCCTGACCTAGAGACCTTCCTGGTGACCCCTTGGACAGCGTTGATCGGAGACACCTAACTTCGCTGGAACAACCTGGCGTGCACCTGGCATAGTGAGACTGTCGATAGGTTGTCAACCTCATGTGGGAACTCTGTCATTTTATCTGTTGTTATTATTCACTATTAGCTCTTTATTACTGTTCTATTTGTTTGTCATAATAATTTTCCTGTTAACTGTTGTATGTGTGACCTATCAGTAAATTTGCCTTTGCTTCACTCCCGACTCGCCTCTTTAATCATGAACCCAGCAGCCTAACAGCTGATACACTCACAGTGCCTAGCCGGCCTGTGACACATGATTCATTGATTTTTGTACTTTGGATATAGTCCATTTACTGAGGAAATGGTAGGTCAGAGCAAGCATGCAAAGGTTATCCCTCAGATTAATAAGAAAGTCCAATTTTCACCAAAAATACTTCAGCAAAATGTTAATATAAATACTTGTAGAGAGAAGTCTGTTCCTCATGAAATGGCTCCACGCTTAAACTCCATATTCAGAAAATAAAGACGTAAATGTTTATTAGCCTAGTCCTAAGCAACAGAGCTCGTCAACATCAGCAAACATGAGAGAGCAGACTGACTGCCCTCTTTTAATTGAATCAGTATTGAAATATGTAGTTTATACTGACTGAGTAGTCATCTGAATTACAGAACGAGTATAATTTACACATTTAATGTTTATACTGTTGTCAGTTATAAAAGGGGATCAACAAGAGCCACTTCTGCACAGTGATCCCTGATAATGTCTCTGATGGCCAAGAGCTCCTGAATGGACAAAAATGCTAAAGCACACAAAGATAAAGATACAGACACTGGTCTGTCATACAAAATAAGTTACAAAAGAAAAAACAAACTTACCCTGATAGCACCACCAACAACTTCTGTAACTTTACCTCGATACCACATGGTATCTGCTCCTCTTATAAAGCAAGCTTCTCCTTTTCTCCAACAATATGGTTCAAGAAGACCAAGACATTTGAAGTTACGTTGTATATCAGCCTTCAATACGTTTAATGCTTTTTCTGAATAAAAATGGGGTAAAATGGAATTTTTAAAAACTGGATACCAGATTTCTTTAGTTGAATTGTTAGAACCAAAAATAAAAGTTTACATTAATGTTAAGGTTGAACCATAATAATTTAGAATAAAATACACAGCTTTTTTCACAGCAAATTTCAATGCACATTTTTATTCCTAAGCATCTCCAACTGGGTTGGGATTCTTGATTTCAAGTTCTGATAATTTTACTGTTTTGGAACAGCAGCAATAATTTCAAGATTATAAAATGGAAAATATGGAAATACTGTAACTGTATAATACAATCCCTAAATTACCTAAAATAACTTCTAAGAAGTAATTTCTTATTTACAAAAAAATCTTAAATTTGAAAAGTGTAATTTTTCTACTGAATGTCATAACAGGATAAAATATGAAATCAGCACGTGTTTTATGACAATACGGCTGCTACTGAAAATACAAGGTTGCATATAGCATGCATCTCATCCCAGGTGATGTGCGGCATGTGGCCAGGCCCGGCCTGGCCCAGTTTTTTGGCACTCATTTTCGTACTGTACTGCAATGCCAGTAATAACAAGTATACCATAAGGATATTTTATTTTCCATACATATAAAATCTTACCTGAAGATTTTGGTATTATATAAATAGTTCCATCATCTCCAATAGAGCTTATTAGAGCCTGAAAAGTTTCCTCATCTGGTACAAGGGGTGGTTTATATGCTCCGTCTGGCCTTGACTTTAGTACTGACTTTGTTTTGCATTCTTTGGATTCACTTTCTTCACTTCTAGAAACAACAACTTCTTGCTTTGGAACAGAACTTTTTGGTATACTTTCAGTTTCTGGAGTCAGCTTGTTTAAGACTGAGCTCTCTTGCTTCAAACCAACTTCAAGATATTCCTCTGGGACTACAGCACTTGTGTCAATTTTATGAACTCTAACAGATTCAACACAATAAACCAGAAGATCAGGTATTTGCAAGTGAGAAAGAATAAAAATTAGATCATTATTTGATGAGCACAGCTGAAAATCAGTTCTCAGTCTATATCTGATCTTGGAATAAATAACTGCAGAAAGCATTTGAATGTGATGGTGAAAGAAGATATCATCATGCCAATTTAAAATGCTATCGTGCCTACAAAAAGCTTGAAATAGAGCATGTAAATTTCCATTGATTTACTAGTTAAATACCAATCTTTGTGTCAACTATGATGGCAACTGAAGATATGAAACAACAATTATATTTAACCCCCACAAAATATTTGTACCTTCTGTTTCTGAGAGCCAAGCCTTTTGAAATAAGATATTCAGAAATATCAACAGGCTGTTCTGCTTCACCTTTGCAAAATATTTTCACAGGTAACGGCTGAGTTGCATCTTTTTCCTGGGAGACATTTAAAAGGTGACACAACACAGTCCAACTTAAAAGTTTTCTTAAATACTGTTTTTTTATTTTTACTGTTTGTCATATCAGCAATTTGCCTAAGCCTTTTATACAGGGCATTGTTCCTTGCCTAGCAACTTTTCTTTGTTTTCTGATCTCTGCCAGTGTTTCTACTTAAGTTTTGTATTATGGCAATGAAGAAGGGCTTGAAGATGACAATTTACTGCAGAATGGATAACATGATGAGAAAACAGATAAGTGTGATTAAAGAAGTTTAAAAAATGGAGAAGAAATAATTTTAAAATGTTGAAAGCATTATTTAAAAAGGAGGTATTACAAAATGACATTAAGGATATGCTATTCTGAATGTACATATATATATTAGCCACCAAACCATGGTAGGGTGTAGCCACTATTTTTGTTGCTCTTTTCCTGTCTCAGCTGCCCTCTCTCTTGGAACACAGTGCTAACCTCAATTCTTGGATATTTACTATATATACGCACATAAAAAAATACAGTAACCAAAAAGTAAGGCACCATTTATATAAAATTTAAGAAAAGCTGGAAAAATTTCAAAAACCAAGTATTGGGAACAAAAATAAATGAAAGAGCCATTACTTTAGTAGCAAATATCCTATAATGAGAACATCAATGTTCTTGAAACATCCACAACAAACAATCTGTTAGTGAGGTGACAAAGTTTATATATAACCATGACAAAATCTACATGGGAAATAAGGAGGTAGTAAAATTACTTTTAAAAGAAAGATATTTTAAAGAAAAATATCTTGATTTTACTGATACCTGGGCATTCAGAAACAACTGATGGTAGTAAAGTAAGTTAGAAACCAGCGTTGAGTAAATTCACTCAGCTAAGAGGACTAATAAAATCTTAAGCGTCTGATCTTGTGGCTTCCATTGACCTACTAACAATCTTCATTTTGTCAACTGTAAAATCATCCCTTCTTTTACACAGGGAAAGCTGATCAATAGCCATGTCCAAATTAAGAGGAAGAGACAAAACTTTATTATATCCATATTTGGATGTAATATTTGGAAGCACCACAGCCTAAATCCATCTCACTATCGCCTCAGTAGAGTCTAACTTAGTGTGCAGGAGCTATCTGAGAATTCTTTACCATGCAAAAAGGAAAGGGTTTTTTGTTTTTTGGGTTGCCAATTTTATTTCTTTCAAAAGAGAGAGAAAAGTCACTCAAAGGGAAATCCTATCATTGCTTAGGTTTGCAGGCCAACTGGTAAAAACTCTGATCAGCAGTTTCAAAGGCTGCTCCTGACAGAGCTTAAACAAAAATAAAGCCAAGTATTTAAATAATATCTACAGCAAAAAGGTGACAAATAAAAACTACAGTCATGCTCTATCTGAACCTAAAAACTATCGCAAAGTATCAAGAAAAATTCAAATTCAAAATATGGTTTTCTTACCACTATTTGATGAGAGCCTCTCTAAAAAGGAGAGAGGGTAATAACTGTTAAGATTGTAAGCCTCAAGAATGTCAGGTCCTTGCTTAAAAAAATCTGAAAAGCGATGCTCCCGGATATGTAAACTAAAAGAACAAATCTCAGCATGGAATACGTAACTAAATACCCTCTGTCTTCCCTAATCTGGGACAAATTCCATTGCACACATTTTGATTACAGACCTGTATGATTATGGTTGCTACTGCTCCAGTTAGGTAACGTGAGACCCAATCACAAGCCGTTGCTGTCCACTGCTCACTCCCACCAGCTGGACTAAAATGTAAAATTAAAATATGCTTTAGTATAAACCTCATTTTCTGTTGTCCTATGGTCTTTAAGGCTTACATATAAAACACTCACCATCAAGACTAATAGTTTTATAGACTATCCAGATTGACAGGGAACAAACCAGGTATTAAAAGTCAACAAAAGGGAAAAGCAGCACTGCCACTACCTGCCGCAGGTTCAAAATGATGTTAAGGAAAAAAACCAAAGTACTTTAGGAAGGCCTCAGATATATGAAAACAAAACTTGCACTACATCCTTGTAAAGAAAGCATTCCAGAAATGTGTCACAGAGGGGATGAACAGACATTGCGCTGGGTTGTTTCACCCAAGTAAAAAAGTTGTTCCTCCTTCTTAACTGTTGTGTACACCTTTTCAAGTATTACTTTGTTGCGTGGCTGCTTCACTGTCCATAGGTGGCTAGCAAGAACATACAACCCAGCATGCCTTGCAGTCACCAGAGGTTCCCAGGGATTCCAGTGGGTAGAAAGCACCCACTGGTGGGAATGCTTGAGTGATTGAATGGGACCATCCATCCACTGCTACCTCCTACTACTGCCACCACTGCTGCCATGTTCCTACCATGCTGCTTCCATGGGTCTGCTGAATGGACTTGCCCAATGACCTGTACATGATCTTTGCCCAGTAGGTCATGGTCACCCAATGTCAGGAGCTTGTGCTCCCAAGTTATGCGGTAACAGGACCAGTGGCAGCTCTCATCAGCAAAATCAGCAAGGATGAATGTTTCAAAAAGGAGATGACTATACAACTCCTGGATTTCATATTAAAGCATGGGCTATGTGTCCAGTTCTACCCCTCTCCCAGCACAGGCAGCCCCAGGGAGGTGCTGGCTAGTGCAATACAATGCATCTTAGCTGTTGGGGGAGAATCTCCAAACCAGTGGAATGGTTCTTTTGCTTCAGGATGATGAACAGCAATGGGTGGAAGTGGATCATCCTGGGCAAGGTACATGACACCAGGTTTTTCAGAAACACTGCTGTCCCTGAAGTGATGGAGAGGGGAATATGCCCCTGGCATGCCCAATGTCAAGGTGTTGGAGTGACTCCAACAGTGGGTTTGATTAAGGGCCCTGCCTACCAAGCTTATGAAGCTGTTGATGGATTGCCCAGATGCCTGTAAGGAACTGTTTAACTACTATCTCAGCAGCTGCCAAATGCCTGTGGAGCGTGCACTGGGACACTCTAAGGCTCACTGGAGGTCTCTGAGGATAGGCCTGGATGCCCTGCTCCCTCATCTCTACCTGCACCATGCACAATGTCTGTGAAACCAAGATGGAATCCATTCCCAAGGCAGGGGCACTGAAAGTAGATGTAGCCCAAGCACACAACCACGTGAGGGGCTTTTTTAATACTGTATTCTCCCCTATATGATAAGGGAATCACGACGGCCATTTAAACAGTTTATTTTACAGAATGTGTACTTATGTAACAGAACATGCAAAATGTAACCTGCTTTTAAAGTTTTTTTTTTTGGTGGTCTCCGAGTGTGGTCTCTGGGGGTTAAGAGGTCATATTTGTTTTGAGTAAAACCATTTTGTCCCAGGCCAAGCTGCAAACATACAGACCTATGGGGAACTGGTCTAGGGCAACCCTCTCACATGTATGTGAAATAAAGTGTGCTAACACTTTTTTCCAGGATGCAGTGAAGTGTATCTATATGGGTGTCAGAGTCCAGTGTCCTGGGAAAGCTTCACTAGAAAGATTACCTTATATCTACCAAGGAACACTCCAATGCTAGTTTTTTGATTCTCTTCAGATTTTCCTCTAGTTCTCTTAAACAGATGACATTCACTATTTCTTTTGTACCAAAATCAAGCAGCACTACCTGTTAAAAGACAAGACTGAAGAGAGCTGAAAGAAACTGAAAAATTCTTAAGACAAGTTGTATCTTGTAAAATAAAATGACAATATTGTGCACATACAGCAATGTAAAACGTACTTTTAAAGCTTAACTGAACACAATTCAAATTGTGCTGAAATTATCTTGTTTTCTTACTTTCAAGTGTAAGATTAAAATCTTTATTATTCTTTATTTTTATTGTTCAAACTGCTGCATGCACTAGACACTTCTCTTTCAAGAAGCATTCCCAATTCCCCAGGCTGTATCTTGAGTGCTTGATTTTGGAACCTGTTCCCTAACTTCGTTTTCTAAGGTGAGCCTCTTTTTCCTTTCCTCCTTTTGGATTTTGATCAGACTGTAATTTTCTTGCAATAATGCAATTAAATATTGCCAAAAGTATGAAAGTCAACATGAAAGTCGGAAAACCCCTATTGTTCCTAAGAGATATTTTAAGCTAAAATTTAAATCAAAAGTATGATTTCTTTTAAACAACATTTACCTCTACAGTGGTTTCAGAAAGAACTCTGTTAATCTGGCCTCTTTGCCACTGTTTCATATCACGTTTACAAATAGCACAATACATGCCAATTTCCCACTTCACTTGCTCAAACGTGGATTCTTCATAGATACCAGTCATCTTTTCCTGTAAACTGACATTCAAAAAACAGAGATAGTTATCCATTTTAGTCTGAAGTTAGGCAGAAGGCAGGGCACCTTTTAGATCAACTCATACAGCTACTGCCTACAAAACTAATAACTCTCTGAACAAGTGCCACCTATAAAAGGTACTCCTCTGCCCTGTCTTATTTCAAAACCATGAAATCCAGATTAACTTCTTCCATGACCAAAGGTGTAGTGTCTCATATTATTTATCCAATCACTTCTAAAATATCATGAAGTAATGTTTCATTTACTGTGTGGCAGTACACAGTACTGACCCTAGTAACTATGTAGTGAAGTTACTGCATTCTCATAATGAATTAATTGAATTCAAAGAACTCCATCCTTTTAGATAAGAATGCCTTAGAATTAATGCTAAGAAAATATATTTTGTCTCTTCCTACGGCACCATGAAACACAGCTATAAGAGAAATCCAGGTGGCATTTATACAAGTAGTAAGGGAAGGGACAAAAAAAGAAAGGCATGAAATAGTGATTAGCACAGCAGCTTACTGTGGACAACTTATGACTGTATAAAATGGCTGTTGAATATTAATGTACTTTTACAAAGTAAGTTGTTACATTAATATGCCTTAGCTGCTTCCAAGTTTTCACCTGTTGCATGTTGTAGTTAGGTAAAATGACTGAAGTTTACCAAAGGTACAACCCAACCAGGGATCTGTAGAACTCTTGGAAAGAAATGTATTACAGTATGTTGTCAACGAATATTCAAATTGGTGTTTGACATCACAGAAAGAATACAAATGAAAGAGCCAGAGTGCAGGTTTTTTGTCTTTTTGGTAATTTTCTTTGGCTCTGATTCTAATCACTGGAATCAACAGATTAAGATTTTTTAATTGATTTGAAATGGAAGCTGGATCATGCACTTAATTTCACATCATATAAATTTAACAAACTATTTTAGAGGGCAAATCTATTTTCTGTGCCAGTACATATTTTTTCCAACAAAAAATAAACAAAACTCAGCCCCTTCAAAACCAGTCTAAGGACTACTCAAATGCAAAAGGACAGCTGAAAATACACTATTTTTGTTTTTCGTGTTTGGCAGAAGGTATTCTCTAAGGGCCTTGTTACATGTTACACTTCAAGCTGCTCAAATGTTAAATTGGTGTTAGTGCTAGCTCCAGTTTGGAGCAGTCACACCCTAAGGCTAAAAATCTTCTCTGACTGTCCCCCACTTGCACAGCTGTGACTTATCACTAGAGGGCTGGCAAACAAGGCTCTGACTAGGAGCTACAGCTGTGAGTTACTACTGCAGGGCTGGTAAACCAGGACATGCTTCTATCCCTGCTGTAGTTGGGGGTGGGAACATGAAGCCGGGATGTTAAACACAGAGCGTTAATGGGATGGGGGTAGGTAATGGGACGTAGAAAGGAAATGGGGGTGGGAGAAAGGTGGTGAAATGAAGGAAGTCAGCCACTGAAGGATAAAATAAAAAGAAGTGAAAACAAATTCAAAAACATATAAAGTAATAGTGAATTAAAAAAGGTCTCGTGTTTTAGTAATTTGGGATTTGGACTTGGGGCATGGGGGTGCTGGCTGTGCTTCCTGGGGTGGCTGAGAGGTAGGAGTGGTGAGAGAAATTAGTTTTGGGGAGTGACTGGCCCTGTCCCAGGAAGGAAGCCCCAGCTCATGGGGACTCCCACCCTTGCTCCCTACCCAGTTCTGCACCCCACTCCCTGCTAGACCCTACTTCCTGCGACCCTGGCTAGCTGGCATGTGACCTCGAGACTGTTTGAATGGGGTTGCTTAAAACTAGTTTCAAATGTAAATGTGTGGACACTGAATCCTGGGATGCTGGAGAACTACAACTTGGGCGGCTCATCTGTGGGGAGTGGTCACACAATTAATGGAACACAATCTGGGTAACACATATCAGAGAAACCTGCCCTGGAATGGTGCAACTTTAAGCCACCTAAAGTGTGCTTAAAACTAGCTCAGATGTTAATGTGTGGACAATCCAGGGGTTAAGACAAGGGCAGGCAAAGTCCAGTCCGTGAGCCAAATTGGGCCTGGAGCAGACTCGATTTCTCAGCAGTCCCTGCCCATGTCGCTATGGCCAGTTTCCATGGAGAACTCAGAAGTGGCAGGGCCATGACAGTGCAAAGCCAGGGTTACCACGGACACCGGCCCCTGAAGCACTGGCAGGGCATGCGGCTGGGCAGGGAACTGTTCTGAGGCTGGGATCTTGCAGCAGTGACAGCGTGGTCCACAGCTGAGGCAGAGCTGTGGTCCACTGCCCACACACCCCGGGCAGAGGCGTGCAGGAAGCAGATCACAGCTCTGTCCTGGCTTCAGACCATACTGTCACCAATGCAAGATCCTAGCCCCAACCACAGCCCCAGAGCTGCTCCCTGCCCAGCTGTGTGCCCTGCCAAGGCTGCTGGGGCTCGTCTCCATGGAAACCATAGCCCTACACTGTCACAGCACTGCCATTCCAGGGTTCTGCATGGAAACCAGCCACAGAGACACAGGCAGAGGCTGCTGGGAAATGGAGTCCAACCACCAGCCAGATCTGCCGTTTTGCCCATCCCTGGGTTAATAGCTCCAGGACACACCTAAAATTAATGTGTAACAAGGCCCTAAGGTACCACACAGCCCCAACTGGCTCAGAGGCATAAACCACAGTTTACCTGACTCCAGTTCTCAACAAGCTACTGGGCCTTGCTACAGCTCCAGATGCCAATCAGCCTCTTCACTGACACAGACATCATCATCATTGGACCAAGTAACACAAATCATAACACCTGAGGTTAACTGTCTTGTTCATCTGCTACAGTTAATACACTTATTACTTTAGCGGTGTCTGCTCCCCTTACCCTGTTCCCTTTTTTCTACCAGTCCATTCCTAGCATTTGATGAAGCAGGTTGTCGTCTACAAATGGGCATGCCTCTCTGAATCAGATAGTTTCTAAGGGTGCTTGTACATGCGACAGGGGGTTAGTTCTCCAAAAAAATAGAAACGGTAGTCTTTTAACTGGTGGGTTTTTAATTGTTTTGTTTAGAATCTTGCCATTTCAATTTAGGGACTTCCATCATATCATAGTGCATCATGGCCCCCCGTCAGCTGATTTCAGACTAACATGGCTAACCACCTCTGTTTTACCTGTATATTTTTTATTGATTAGAATGAAAAGACACTAATACAAGCAATAAGTTTATAACTACCTAAATGATTTAATACCTTTTCAGTAAGTTTTCAGATGACTGCCTCTGTATAAAGATCTTATGTGGGGATACGACATGACTAATCTGCACTTGTAGTTCTTTGTTGCAAAGTGATTCCAAATCATGGTTCTGTTGAGATTCTATGTTTAAAGCCTCAAACAGTTTAGATTCTATAGATTCAGAAACTTCTTCTAGGTCAGGGTCCCACACTTCATTATGTTCTGTGGTAGTACTCTTCATATATCTGCAAGAAATTTAACAAGATACCAGAATAACTTCACGCTGAGTTTTACACCCTCAATCCAAAATTTGTTAACGATCAATAGAAATAAAAGTGGAAAGTATATTATGATAACATAAGCTAAAGAAAAGGTCGTGGCAAAGGATACCGAGAAAACTCTAGTTCTGCTCAACACTTTATAGCAGGGGTTGGCAATTATTTTGGTTGGCGAGCCACTTAAAGAGTTTTGGTAAACTGTGGAGGGCCACACACACAAAATATTTCAGAAGATATTATTTTAACAAATTATAGATAAAAACCAAACATATCCTAAAAATCAAATATCTACTATAAAATTAATATATGTGGTTATATCAAACAATATTTTTGTCCCGATTTATGTTTTTTGAGTATTGTATACAGAGGCAATTGCATAGTAGCTCAAAATAAAGTCTTATTCTTGTATATTGGGTGTGAGAGTCAGGGATGTGGGGTATGTATGCATGTGTGCATGTGTGTGGGGGATGCCTGTGCCTCCTCAGAGCTCATGCAGCAAAGGGCGCTCATGCAGCAAAGCTTGCCCGGGCAGTGTGGTGCAGGTACATTCTGCCCCCATTCTGGCTAATGGCTGCCCTGAGGCACTCCACATAAGACCGAGCCCCACCTGCGCCCTCCCCGTGCCTGCTGACGGCACTGCCCTGGCCCTAGTCAGCATGCACAGCTTCCCAATGGGGCTTGCTTTTGCTGCTGCTGCAGCCACCCAGCTACTGCTCAGCCCCCACCCCGCACTTGAATCTCCATCAGCTCCGCCTCCTCTTGTCTCTGCTGTCTCTCTAGGCAAGGGGGAAGCTACAGCCAGGCAGCTGTAGCCAGACAGCTTCTCCTCAGCGCATAGGGCTCCAGCTTCAAGCTGCTTTCCACCCACTCTGCCCACCCGGCGTGAGGAACAGCCACTAGTGGGTGGCTGAGCAGGTAGAGAGTGGCCAGGAGCTGGAGCCCCTGGCAGGAGACACCTGGCTGTAGTTTCCCTCCTACCTGGAGTGGTGCAGAAGGGGTAGGAGGAGGAGCCACTGGAGGCGTGGGGGGGGCAAGTAGTACCTGGGTGGCTGCAGCAGCAGTGCTGTGTCCTTTGGCAGGGGCCGGGGCTTGGGCAGTGCCATTGGCAGGTATGGGGCGAGTATGGCAGGAGTGTTGTGTAGTTTGCCCCAGGCAGAACTTGGCGGGGGCAGCTGCGGACCAGATACAATCAATTAGCAGGCCATATCCAGCCTGTGGGCCATATTTTTGCCCACCCCTGCTTTATAGTCATTTCATACACTTGTTTTCGCCTGCCTTCCTCCTATTTTGTTCATAAAACAAGAATAGGATTCAAGTACAAAAAAGGCTGAAAAAATGAAATTAAAATAACATATTAGGACTCTGTAATTTAAATAAAGACTACAGAGGCTATACTAGTTTCAAGTTAAAAAACCTGATTTCTAAGTGTACAAGTTTTCAAACTGCTAAGGGCAGAAGATATGAGTACTACCATTTGATCAAGCATTTTTCAGCACTGTGGTAAAACTTCTGATGGGCTGCGTGACTTCCAGTATCTCCAAGGCGCACACGGTGAGGCAAAGCTTGGAAAATGTGCAGCTCCAGGAATTGCAAAACACAGAGCTCTAGAGTTATCTTATTAATGGTTGGTTAAAGTAAGTAAAAATTTTTTTTTATTTATATCTGTTTAAAATGAGGCTGAATATCAAATTTAGGCTGAAGAGTAATATCAGGACAGATAGTGGAACACACAGAGACAACAAAACCAGAAGGACATCCAATACTAATCTCTCAAGATCAAGTCATGCTTCACCAACTTGATCTCTTGTGTGGATGGGGGCAGAACACTGGATTATATATACCAGACTTTAGTTATGCTATTGTTACTGACTTCCGTGATTTATTGCATAAATAAACAAAGGAAATAGAACTGAAACTGCTCTAATGTGGGTGCATGACTGGTCACAGTGACCAGTGGGCTCCATTTCTAACTGGAAGAAGGTATCAAGTAGGGTTTTTCATGGCTCTGTCCTTGGTCTGGTATTGTCCAGTACCTTCATTAAATGACTTGGAGGAGGGAACTACTGCAATTTTAAACACAGTAAATTTGCAGATGATCTCAAGCATGGTGGGGTAGTACACATTTTTGAGGACAGGGTCAGAATTCAAAGTTATGTTGAAATTCAATAAGTAAAAGTAAGCACAGAGCTTAGAATGGAGCAAGCTTGGGAATTGCTGGCTAGAATGCAGCACTGTTGAAAAGCTTCTTAGTGAACTGCAAATACACTACAGGTAAAATAGCATAATACTACTGCAAAAAGCCAGTAACAGGAGTGTTACTGAGAATTTTAGTGTGCTAGAGAATTTTAGAGTGCTAGAAAATTTTTCTATTCTACTGAGCCTTAAGACTTAATTTTCAGTACTGTGTCCAGTTTCCAAAAACACACTTCAAACAAGATTTGGACAAATTGGTAAATCTGGAGGAGAGACCAAAAATCTGTTAGCTATCTAGACAGAATCCCAAAATGGGATTACCTAACTCTGGAGAAGAGGAGACTGAATGGTAATCATGTAAAGTTAAAGCTATACATGAAGACTTTGCAGAAACTGGGCCATAGTTACTACCAAGCAACAGACTTAAACAGAAAGACTACTTCCCAACATGGAAACCTGACAGATCAGATTATATATGGTAAGGTAGGTAGATTTAAAAAGCAATGATATGATAGTTGAATACTTCATCCATCAGCAGACCTCAGCCAGCAATGCCACAAAATTTCTCAAGCAAGCCAAAAAGTCTTTCTTACTGATGAAGGTTAGTCAACGAACCCCTCTGGCCATTATCTGGCTTTGTATGGAGTACAAAACCACTGCAGTCTACTGAAGACCTATGAAGACAGAGTTAGTTGTCCACCAATAAGCAATATGATGTAGAATTGGGGTGCTATGGGACAGCTGTTACCCCATTTAAGAGGTCATTTATAACCCTTCTCTTCTGATTTATCAACAGGATGCAATGGACATTTTAAGTTTTTTAAACAGCAGCTGTAGATAGCCAATTAATATGCATCTAACTTGGGTATCAAATCACATTGAGACCAATTCTAAAGCATTTACCTTTCAAAACATAAATTACAAAATGTTGGCAGTAATACTTAGATGTTTACTGACATTCTAGCATGCTATTTGACTTTTTTTGCTGCAACAAGACTACGCTGTTGACTGATCCCCTATAATCCCAAACTCCTTTTTCTCCAGCCTAACCTGTCATTCCCCAATTTGTATTTGCACATCTGATTCTTTCATCCTATGTTTAGGACTTTACGTTTCTGTTTATTAAATTTCATTGGATTAATTTCAGATCACTTCTCCAGTTTAAACATCATTCTGAATCCCAGTTCTATTCTACAAAGTGTCTACTACCCAAAGCTACTTAGCATTATCTGCAGAGCTCTGGCTGGGCAGTGGCAGGGCACTAGGGATGAGCAGCGATGAAGATATGCATTCAGCTAGAGCTCTGAACTGCTGCATACCACCTGGCTCTACGTGGATGCATGCTCCCAGCTTTGTGCTGCCTAAATGCCCCGGCACTGCTGACTAGCTAGAGTACTGTGCCACTGGCAGAGCTGGGGGTATGCAGCTGCATGGAGTCATAATCATACAGTCGCACACCCCTAGCTCCAGGCCACTGCCCAGTAGAACGGAACTCCATCCAGCTGGCAGTGCCATGAGTATGCAGCAGCACAGAGCCAAGGGCAAGCACCACTAATCCAGCAGACTACTGGTGGGCCAGGTACAATGGTTCTACAGGCCATGTTTGGCACCCTTGACTTAAAGCCTCCTGTGCTTTTCTGTTCTCCCTTGGTGTTCACCATGGCTTTTAGCACCACCCAGTAAACAGAGTGGGGGGGAGAGTGCTGGGAAGGGAATGGAGCAGCAGGGGATCAGTGGGGAAACTGGAAGCCTATGACTGCAGCCTGGTCACAAGCACAAGCACCACTCTACATGGCTGTTCTAGGCTGATTATCTACTTTATCCTTATTGCTAAACTATGCTAGCTGTATCTCAATTTGTGCATAGGCCTTCCTGACTTTCTCCCTACATACCTATGCTATACTCTTAAACTCATCTTTAGTAACATGACCAAGTTTTCATTTTTATGAAAATTGTTGCTAAATTTCAGCTCACTGAAGAGTCTGCTGGTTAGCCTAGCCAGTCTCTTGCTGCATTTCCTGTTGTTCCTTTGCAATTAGCTGATTTAAAAAGGAAGAGGAGAAATTTTTCACTCTGTTAGGAGTACCCAAAAATTTGTTAGGACATATAAATCTCCAGATTTATCATTTACGTTCAACTTCATTGTCACAAGGAAAGTATTTCCACTTTCAGTTGTATCATCCAGATTACATGTGACAAGTCCAATCCTTGATGGTCAAATACTATACTTGCATCACAAATTACACAAACACACTCACCCACCCACCCAAATTACAATAACTAATAAAGTGTAGACTAAGCACAAAATACTTGCCCAGGTACGTAAGATGCCAGATCTTCTTCAACTAATTGGCTGTTAATACTACAGGATCTCTTTCCAAGCACATTTGAAGAAGAGTCAAATAGTTCGACACACAACACATCATTTTGCAATATGCCTACAAATAAAAGTTTCATTTTTAATATTGTATCTATTTGAGGACAATATGGAAAATGTTGGCTGTCTGGGAAATAAGCGAACACTTTAGAAATAGGAAATATTTTATGAACAACTTAAATCTATGAAGATCTGACTGGTAAAATAAGTTTTATTTAGTTTGTTAAAGGAGTTTAACTTCATACAGATCTATATTCATTAAGGTCAGTTTTTGGTGGCTAAAGGACAACAACTTGTATGTCAATATAGACAACTATTACTCCATTTAATTGGCAGATTCCAAAATCTTTGTGCTGATAAAGCAGCAGCTGTACCATGGCAAAACATGGCAACTGAAAAACCCACAAAAACAGTGATTTGGAAAAATTTAACAGCATGGACACTACTGACCTTTTCTACAAGTGCTAGTTATCCATAGGCTCAAGTGAAGTCAGCTGGAGCTACGGATACCTAGTGCCTCTGGAATCAACCCCTACTATTATTAATTTAGACCAGAATGTCTATACCATTTAACACTTATGGTACCTGGAGGGAATAGAGAACATAAAAGCTGGTGCATTTTGGTTTTTAAGCCCATTAAATTTCCTTCCAATTATATTTGGAAACTTTCACCTAGACCACCTCCTACAATTACAAAGGTTTCCTAGCAAAAAGGCAACTCTCTAAACAAGACTATGAAAGTGTAAACACTGCATAATGGATTTCTCTCAGTATCAGAACATATTTATTTTATAACGTTATAATCAAAATGTGCACATTCTTTTATTAAATTAGAAATAATATTATGTAAGAGAGAGAGATACTCAGTTGGTCACTTACTAACAACTGAGCATGCCATGGATTTATCACAAGTCATTTCTTCAAATCTTTCCTTTGCTTTGCTACTCCATTCATTTGCTCCTTTGTAGGGTTCAATATAAGCCAGCTTAGTCCTTATGGCCTAAGTAATAAATCAGATCAGATGCCCACTGTCATTCATGCACAGCATCCACTTCAGATCAAATTACTAATTTGGTCATGTATGTGCAGAGGGGAGTAAGGAGGCATATAAGGCTCTCTTAGTCTTCTGGGTTGACTACACATATTATAGGTTACAATGTAAGGAGGGTTGTTGCACAGAGGACATGTTCTGAACAGACACAAACTTCATCACATTTTAAAATACAATTCCTAAGACAAACGCCCATTTTTTTCTGAAAGGCATTGGTTAGTCTAATTCTGACAAACACAACTTAATAAGGAAGAAAGTCTATTTATTCTATGAATGAATTTTGAGCTAAGTCTTTTGGGTTGGTTACTCTTCCTGTTTTTGACAAGACAGGCAAGAAGAGCAGAAACGCATTCAGCAGCAGTGGAATGAGAGACTTTTTGCCAATTGCTGTCAAATAAACTGCAGTTTGTCACGAACAGATACTCTGGCCATTGTTGCTGTACAAGTTTCCCTCACCGACCACAGGTGTTAAGTTCCAGAAAGTTCCTATGGTTGGCAAAACTGCGGTTGGTAAAACTAAAGGTTTATGGGGAAAATGGGGTTAGGGACTTGAATATTGTACAGTATAGAGTATAAAAATAATTTTTACTTACCTTTAATACAGACAGTGGTCAACTGGGCGTAAGCATACCCCTAGGTGTACTCAGACAGGTTCCAGGGGGTATGCATTGGCAGGCAGGGACGGAGCACACCCAGGGCGCAGCGTCAGCGTCTCCCCTGGTGCGTTCGCCTTTTATCCGGGGGAGGGAAAGGATAGAGGGAAGGGAAAGGGAGGGGAGGGATGTGCCAGCTGGCCCCACGCAGGCACACCATGGTGCTTCCCTGCCCACACCTGTCTGAATGATGGAGTGTGAGTGTTTTGTGCCTGCCTCTGGCAGCGATCAGTGATTGGCTGGTCCGGCTGGTTGGGCCAGGTTGTGGGACAATCCAAGCCTGGCGACAGCAGGAGCCACCCACCTGCATCCCTGGATGAGCTGCCGGGCCCGGATTGTCCCATGACCCGGTCCAGCCTGGTGTTTTCTGCCACTTTGCTTTCCTCCCCTGCAACCTGGTGTGGCAGGGAGCAGAGAAGCCATGCAGGGATCTCCTCGTCGGCTGCTGCTTGCCCCGCATTGCCCTGGCAATGCACCTCCTGCACATGAAGCTGCACTAAGGGCTGATGCATGGCCACACTAACCGTGGTTGCTCAAAACTGTATTCCACAGTAGCCAAAATGGTATATGGAATATTAACCATGGATACTCAAAACCATGGTTGGCGAGGGAAACCAGTATTATAATTACATTTTAAACAGAACTCCTGTTTCATTCAGTGCTCAGGATGGACTCTGCTAATTAAACAAGTACGGGTAGAAAGCCAAAACTGTAGACTGTGCAGACAACAGGAACGCTATCTTGAGCCAATAAAGTTCCTCTTAATCACCTAAGGAGTTCTGTGCAATTCCCTTTATGCCACCTGTGGAGGGCACAAGGAGAAGCAGGAACTGTGTGCGTGCCAGTACTTTGGATGGCAAGCAAAACATTTCAAAGCTCAAATACCTGCCAAAACAAATGCATGCTGACCGTGGAACGTGCATATGCACAAAAACTTGGCAAAAATATATTATCCTCCCCATTTACACAGGATAAACTTGGATCCAAAGTTTTAAAGCTGAAATTGTCTTTAGAATGCACTAAATTTGGACATCCAATTTGAAAAGGCTAGCATTTGATAGTACTTCATATGTTCAGAACGAAGCTTCCATCAATTTTATTGCGGACAGCACTCTGCATTTTTGCAAGTCAGGCCTGAGGCATCTACACTTGCTCCCACACAGCAACCAAAATACGATTATTTAGGTCCAACGCATGGTGGTATCTCAACATACCACCTCATATACATGAGAGCCCTGGGGCTCTTTAGCCTGGAAAAGCGCAGGCTCAGGGGTGATCTGATGGCCACCTATAAGTTTATCAGGGGTGACCACCAGTATCTGGGGGAACGTTTGTTCACCAGAGCACCCCAAGGGATGACTAGGTCGAATGGTCATAAACGACTACAAGACTGCTTCAGGCTGGACATAAGGAAGAATTTCTTTACTGTCCGAGCCCCCAAGGTCTGGAACAGCCTGCCACTGGAGGTGGTTCAAGCGCCTACATTGAACACCTTCAAGAGCAAACTGGATGCTTATCTTGCTGGGATCCTATGACCCCAGCTGACTTCCTGCCCTTTGGGCAGGGGGCTGGACTCGATGATCTTCTGAGGTCCCTTCCAGCCCTAATGTCTATGAAATCTATGAAACATAACAGATGCAAAAAGTTTTGCCCGTGGACAAGATGGACTGTAACTTTTTTCTCCAAAAAAGACCAAACCTTTTTAGCTGAAATTTCCATCTACCTGAAAAATGTATTTTGGGGGAAAAAAGTTAAAACTGACTGAGAACAGAGTCTTACACAAGTGTTTTTGGTCAACTTTAAGATGCTGCTACCTCTGCTGGCTCTCATAGGTTAAAAAGCCACCATTAAATCGAGGGCCCTATTTATTTAAAACCTTTTGTATACACTCTAACTATAAAAGAGCATCTAAAATTAAAGTAACAAAAATTTTAGGATATTTCCCCTCTCTTTCTGGTTTAGCTGCATTATTTAATCCAGTCTAAGCCATCAGTTTAGCCATTCTGTATAGTCCCTTTAGGGACTTCATGTAGATAATCAAAGAGCAGAAAAAAACCCCTTGAGATGTTTTAAAGAATTTTCCCCTTCCAAACACTGAGGATGTATCATTTAAAAAAAGAAGAGTCCTTTACTGAATACTGGATAATTTATTGAAAATAATGATCACGAAAATTTAAGTTGAGACGGTCTCCATAGAACAGGTGAAGATATTTGAAAACTGACATTTTTGTTTTAAAAAAATCCAATTTAAAAAATAAGCAGCATTAAGAACAAATATAAATGCTAGTTTTTCATGCCATTTGTACCCAAAGCATTTTCAAAGTGTTACACTGAAGTATGTGAATAGAAACTCAAGAAAGTAAGCCAAGAGCTTCTGACTTGAATAATTTGACCTTTACTTCCTTAAACAGATTAAGATTTAGTCTTTTCATACAAAGAGCAACCTTTTAACTCACCTTTGCTGGATGGCTCAAAAACTCATCTTTTATTTTACGCATCTCTTTAAGAGTTATTTTGGCAGTGTTGCCAAAGTCAACATATTTAACCTCAATTTCTTGATTCCCTGGCAAACCTTCGGAGAAAACACAGTATCAAGTAAACAAATTAGAAGATATTTACATTCAAAACTTTTCTGGTATCAATATTAAAACACAGAGTACCAGATTCAAAATTAATCTTTTGCACCATATTTGAAAGAAATCATAGAGATTCCCAACTCACAGCCTTGAACAAGCTCCAGATTCCCCCAGTTCAGGGAAAACTCTAGGTGAGACAAAGTTAATGTAGGTATAAAGAGATGGTAGAATCTTGTGTGTAAAGTTAGATGAGGCATATGACTAAAAGACCATATAATCACTAATGAACCATGTGTCAGCAAGGGATTGCTGTAGCTGATATACAGTTTATAGCAGCCCCAAAAATGTTGGGGATAAATTGGTTACCTAATGTTCCTAGAAGCAGAGGACTATCACTACTTATTCTGTGGACTCTCCCACATAACTATTCCCTTTGTTCAAAGGGAATTGTTCAACAGCCCAGGAGGCTCCTTCTAGTTCAATGTTCCTGTATGCTGTACCCACCTAGCAAAGAACAGGCATAACAGAGGATGACTGATTTGTCCATTTGGTTATGACTATTACACTGATTACTGAGCTGCCACTATACACTTTACACTTATAGTGAAATGAATTTTCTGATCTAGTGTTTTTAGAAATAAATACACAAAGAGGAATTTTTTAGCAAAATAGGATAAAGTTTTATAAATCTGCATGCTTAAAACTTGTGAGGCTGACTCTTAGTAGTGGTAATTACTTTTAACATTAGCAGCAATAAATATTGTCGTTTACTGGACTATAATTTATGCCCACCAGCTCACTTTGAGCATATGCCACTTCTGATGCTGCATGCCACTGTTAATAATTAGTACTTTGCTGACTTACCAATAACTTGTGCTCTGTACCAATCACCATCTTCAAACTTTGCTATGCAGGTTTGGCCTTGGATTGGACAGAGGATTTCTAGGTTTTCACCATCTTCATTTTTATATACTTCCTCAATTCTCTTCAGGAGCATTACTAAGTCAAGACTTTCTAGCTAAAATAATAAAACAAAAAACAACACAGCAATAGACATATCAGAATAAGTAAATCATTATTTAAAATATTTTGAGTTTCAGGAATTGTAACTTGCAGTTCCAAAGGGAGCATGAGCACATAGACACCCCCAAACAACATTCCAGCTTTTGCATGTTACTCTCAAATTAGACTGAAAGAGATTTTATAAAATATTTTCTAGCACCACATCACCACACTGCATGCAATATATTTAACTGATGCAAACCTAGAGTGGGTATGAAGGCAGTGTTCCTTCTACACCGACAGATGTGCCAGTGCCACACAATTTCTCTCTCTGTTTCCAAGTAGAACAGATATGATGCTAGAGAAGTCCTATGCATGAGAGATGAGTAGACATACCATCTCAAAGTGCACTGTCCTCCTCTGACTACATCTGTTAGTAAAGAACTTGCACAGGACCCTTTTTAGGTCCTCCAAACTAGACGGCTGGAACTCCAGATAAAAGATGAAAAATCCACATAGCAGCTCAACAGTTTTACCATACAGGCAAAATCCTTTCTAGACCCCAAACAAGACTGGGTATCAACTTCAGTCTCAGCATCATATAGGAAAAATAGATAAGGTAGATAAAAAGGTTAGAAAGGAGCCTCCCTTTTTATTGGCAACAAGACCAGGAACACCAATGGGATAGGAGAAAAAAAAAAGGAGGGATTGGGCCACCCACTTTTCTCCAAAAAAAGAAATGTACCTCAAAGTAGCAAGGTAAACACTTTACTAGCCTGGTATGCTCCCATCTTTCTTCCTTTCCCTTCTTTATTATGGCAGAATCCAGGGATCACAGTTAAGACTAAGACCCCACTGTGTCTGTACAGTACCTAACATATATCTGCCTATAGTAATAATTTCTTATAAAAACTGGTAAAAATGTACATCAATTGATTAATGAAATAACCTGTTCTGTAGTTTAACACTGGATTACTTAGAAGCCATTTTTTTCAATAATATTAATGGATTTTAATATGCCACATCTCTAAACTTACCAACTGAAGGTAGAAATCATTAGGACTATTGACATGACAAACCACAATGGAGACTTCTTCCCTTTCTTGGGGTAATGTAGGTGGACTATACTGCAACACCATTTTATCTTCTGGTTGACCAGGAAGTGATCTAAACCTAATGAGAATAATGGTCCTGAACAAATTCTGTCAATGTTAGTTGTGGAAGTATCACTTTCATGTAGAATATTCTATGGCAGTGCCAAGACCTTCTTATTCTACATTTACCTGGAATCTGCCATTAACTGGCAAATGTTTGAGTTCCAATACAATACTGCTTTGGAGGAACAGCTCTTGAACTTTGCGGTGCTCAGAAACAAATTTTCTAATTTTCTCCGTCAAAAGGGTAACATTTTGTGAGATCTGTGTGACAGTTTCCCCTTCTAAAGCTTTTCAAATGACAACTTGTACTGTTTTTTTAAATTTTATTTTATGGAAAGGGATGTACCTAAATACTTTAGACAGTTTAGACATGAAAGCAAGCTTTTACTATTTGGAAAAAAGAAAGGGCATTTCTTTGAAGAGTTTATTTTTTCTTAAGAGAAAGTTACCATTGTAGGAAGGTATTTACCAGTGGATAAGACATCTCCCACTGATCTTCCCCCTCTCATCCTGACAGCTAATGTCCACAAGGGTTAAAACAAATTACAGCTAGTCACAAAGTCCTATATTTTTAGTGCGTGTCAAATGTTTTATACGCAAACAGCACAAGACACATAATAACCACTCAACTCCTAAAAAACTTACTTCTAAGTCAGACGCTTGAGAACAGAATTGCCATTTTAGATTAAGTGATTAGAATAATTATCCAAAAGGTCTACACACTATTTATAAATGAAGGAATTCTGAATGCAAAAATTTAAGGAAGCCAACTGCCGGACTTTAAACATGCGAGCAACATTAGTTAAAATGAAGTTGTTTAAATTTAAACAAGTAGCCTAAATGAGCTGGTATGGCATTTTTTAGAATAGAAATGTTTGAAATCCATTTTTGATGGCACATACCTTGCTAACTCCAAAAAAACGAATGCATCCCTGAGAGACACTGGCATATCACTACTTATTTTATTAGCTGGTGGTTTCTTCAGATCTACAATAAGTACACCATCCTCTTCTCTAAACACCTTCATTAGAACAGCTTTGTTATTTACCATTCTCAGAAATTCCGTCTTTGCTTCTTTCTCCCAACTTTCATTCTATATGAAGGGGAGTGGGTGAGGAAAAAAAAAATTCAGTACCATCCAAATATTACACTCAGAAGGATCCACTGGATCCACTGACATTAGAGGAAAAAGCCTCAATTTACTTTAAGGTATCCAGGTGTTCACCCATATGTAAGAGACAAAACAGAACAAAAAACCCTTGCCAAATAAATTAGCTAAACCCCCCCCTTAAAAAGGCCACATAACATTGGCTCAATTGAAGCAAAACTATGTAAAACACAAACTGTGCAACTTGACTTAAACTTAAAATCAAAGCTCAGTTATTTGTGGTTAAACAATTAAACTAACTACCATTTCAAACTGCTGTAAGGACAAGTGACAGTGACAAGATTATAGTTCTAGGCACTGAAATCCAATCTGTAAAAAAAATAAAACATTTAAAAAAAATGGGCTTCAGTATATTCATGGCAACAACTAATTTACTATCTGTTGATTATTTTAAATAGTGCTTCAATAAAAAAGTTTGACCTTTTTAGCAGTTTTCGCCTCAATGCTTTGAATTGCTATTTAAGAGATATAAGCAGGCAGAGAACATTCCACTCAAATATATGAGCTGTCTTTGGCTATTTATTTTATCAGCATAATACTAGCTGAATATTTCAGCTATTTAAAAGCACCTAGAGTAACATGGCTAGAAAGGTGATGTTTTGAAAAAGATACCTGTCCCTTTTTGGAATACAGGCAGTCCTCAACTTACAACGTTTCAAGCTACAACATTTCGCACTTACAACGTTTATAAATTGACAACCTGTTTCAAATTTACGATGTCAGTTTCAACTTTACAATGCTTGATCCAATGCAACGCCATGCTAGTGAACAAGTTCGCTGCGTCACCCATCTCCCTGGAGAATGTGTCTCCAAACTTCCTTGGACATTTTCTTTAAGAAAGCAGACAAGACTCCAGAAAAACCTGCAGCCAGACTCTTCAGAAGACTCCAGCCAAGAGCCCTTCAAAAAGTCCAACCAAGAGCCCTTCAGAAAGTCTAAAGTCACCTCAAAGAAATCTGAGTTACAATGTTTCGACCTGAGACGCAGTTTTCAGGAACCAATTGTGTCGTTAAGTCCGAGGACTGCCTGTACTGCAAAAGTGAGGATAACACAAATAAAGTGACAAGTGAAGAAAGTATCCCTGGGATTATGTGATCTGCTTAAGAAATAGATTCTATTTATGAACGAGTGTTTTTTGGGGACATACTTTTGCCAAAAATATATCAGACAGCCAAAGAACTGGTCTGTTGACCCTATACTTCTCTTTTGGAAGGAAAAAAAGTCCAGAAATTCCCAAACTAATCAAATAAATCTGCTATTGTCATAAAGTCTTTATGACAAAAACAATTATTTTAAAATTATTTTTAAGATAGGTCCACCTTTCTAAGATTATTTGCTAAACTGATTGCTAAACTGATATGGTATTTAGAATTTAATTACAACTTCTATAAGCTTTATAAGCTTTTATTTGATAAGAAAAACTGATTAGAAGAAAGTTTCTAAAAATATCAAATAGTTCTTTCTTACTGAATTTTTGGGAACAATGTCCTTCAAAGAGCACTGTACTGCTAAAGGATGAATAGCCCCAAGTTGTGGCTCCATACGTGGATCAGGCTTCCTTATAAGCAGACATAAGTCATTCACTATTAAATTCTGTAGAGCAACGTGTTCTGACTTCAGCATAGGGACATCACCAATCCTAGTGGGAATATAATGACAATAAAAAAAAATGCAGTATTTTATTTCTTAAAACAAGTTCTTAAAGTATCAAAGTGCATATTTGGAGAAGGCATGAGGAATGGGCTCTTATTTTCTAAACTATTTAACTCTTCCAGATACAATCCCAAGGACTGTGACCAAGTAAAAGCTATTTATAAAAAGAAGTTTCTTATCAAAGAGGAATCATCATTTTGGGCTTGTAACAATACAGTCATGCCTCAAGGAGCAAGCACTTTAAGCAACATGCCAATTATTGTGATGATGATGATAGGGACCAGCAACAGCAGCTGCCCTCTTGGCTTCGTGGCACAGCCCCTTGCACGGCAGGGGGCAGTGCTGCTTGGCCCTAGCCATCAGGTATCCACGTGGCTTTTGCCACAGCACATAGCTGCAGCCCAGCTCAGAGAGGCGTGGGGCCGTGTGCTTTTGGGCAGCTCCGGGCTGTCACC